ATATATACACACACACATATATATATATATATATATATATATGAATTCATCCAAGAATAAAAAAACATCTGGATTCAGCAGTGTATGTGTACAGAAGCTTTATTTTCATTGCCTGTACCGATTCACACTTTTTTTCTGGTTACCCATCTTCTATTTGAAGATCTTAAGTGTACTTCACAAATAGTTTGTAGCCTTAGCTAAGTGTGTGTGCAAGCTCAAGGCCAAAAACAACCAGACTGGATGAGCTAATCACAGTATCTGTTGTGGCTCCAAAGGCACTTTTGCAGCTATGACCTTTAAATGTACACTATATTTACTGTTGTTCCCACAGGAATGAGGGAGACCTTCGTCTCCACATAGGAGCTTCCTGTTCTCTGTCTCTGTGTCAGTTTCTGTGTAGTTGGTTCAAGTCTCTCCACACCTGAGGCAGAGGTTTTGACATCAGTCAGTTTAACCCAGATCACGTCGGAGAGCAAAGAAACTCAGTACGCAGCCAGAAGTCTGTGCAGCCATGTTTTTTAATCTTCCTGTTGATGGAGAACCTGGATGTTGGCTTTCTTCTTCTTGCCTTTTTCTCCAGGCAATCGGAGGTTCTGCTCTGTGATCTCGTTCTCTGCACCAGAGTCTGATTCTTCCTCAGAGTCTGAAGTCTCCTCCATATCTTCAGAGTCGCCGTCTGACACGCTGAGCTCCACCAAAGCTACATCCTGAGGGTAAGAGGAAGAACTTAAATGACTCAATTAAATCTTACTACAAATAATGTTAAAGCTCCGGTGTATAGGATTTGGAGGGATTATTGGCAAAAATGGAATAAAATAACTACAGTATCTCACATAAGTGAGTACACCCCACCCATTTTTGGATATATTTTATTATATCTTGTCATGGGACAACGCTATAGAAATGACACTTTGATATACAGTAACTTAAAGTAGTCAGTGTACAGCTTGTATAGTAGTATAGATTTACCTTCCTCTGAAAAATACTCAAAACACAGCCATCAACATCTAAACAGCTGGCAACATAAGTGAGTACACCCCACAGTCAACATGTCCAAATTGTGCTCCATGATGACATCATGGAGCAGATGGATGTGAAGACACCTTGCGCTCCTCCACCTTCAGCTTGAGGATGGCCCACAGGTGCACAGGTGAGTTTAGGGCTGGATACATACTTGACCAGTCCATCACCTTCACCTTCACCTTCCTCAGCAGGGCAGTTGTCATCTACTAGGTGTGTTTTGGGTCATTATCATGTTGGAAAACTGCATTGCAGCTCAGTTTCGGAAGAGGGGCGATCATGCTCTGCTTGGAATTCATGTTTCCCTAAATGAACTGAGCTCCCCAGAGCCGGCAGCACTCATGCAGCCCCAAACCATGATGCTGCCACCACTATACTTGGCTGTAAGCAAGGGACAGTTGTCTTGGTGCTCTTCACCAAGGTGCCACACATGCTGAAAAAGCACCAAGACAACTGTTGATGATAACTATGAAAAATGTTTTGCCAACAACCTTTTAACTATGATGAAAACGAGAGAATGACAAGCTTAAAATAGATCTTGATAATATAAACTGGGACAAAATCTACGTATCATTTTTGTTGACGAGATATGATGTGATGAAAATGTTAGTGGTGGACTATCGGACATTGAAAGCCAAGAACAACCATGCTTGTAATTATTTTCAAATGAAGCACGAACGACAGGCTGGTAAACTCCAGTAAATAGTCTGCACCAGGATGTTTGTCTAGCCAGCAAAAACACTCACACTGGAGCAGCTTCAGCCATTGGTGCAAGGTGTGAGCTGCAATTCAGCAGTAAATAATCAGCTATGTGGGGCGTTGGTGGCTTAGTGGATAGAGCAGGCACCCATGTACAAGGCTGTTGCCGCAGCGGCCCAGGTTCGACTCCAGCCTATGGCTCTTTGGGGCATGTCATTTCGCCTCTCTCTCTCCCCCCTTCACACTTATCTGTCCTATCTATAAAGGCAAAAATGCCCCCCCACCCCAAAAAAAAATCTAAAAAAAAAAAAAAAAAAAAATCAGCTATGTATATCTGAATGTGGATGGTGGAGCTGCTGAATGGATTTGTGGAATTTCTTAATTGCGTACTGGTGCGTACTTGTAGACTCCTCCGGGGCTTTCCTCCACTGTTTCTTCAGCTGCCTTCTCTCCTTGACCAGCCATTCTATTTCCTGCTGCCTCCTGAGTTTGATAGGGATGGATGGTGTTCCCTTCCTCTTATCTGCAACTCCGAAGCGTTCAGCTCCATAGCTGTAGATGAGCTCTCCCAGACTCTCGTTTCTTCACTGCGGTTCCACCTAGTTGCTCCAACTGCAAGCTGAGGTCTGTGATGACTGTTTCCCACATCTTTTTCTCACAGGCCAGTTAACGGGTGGCTTCCATCCCTGGGGCCGGTTGCACCAACAGGGCTTATGCCTAGTCTTAAGCTAAGTCGGTCGTAACTTGGTGTTCTAAATCCGACTTAATAGTTACGCCGGTTGCAACATCTAGGCTTAAGCCTTCATCTCACTAAGACCGGCCGTAAATCTTACGCCCAGTCAAGAGCAAGTGCAAGGTCATTATGGCACGTCTCATCCACCGTCTGTACAACGAGCGGGCATTTAGACGGGAGAGAGTAATTGGGGACAGAAGCAATCCACTGGACGTATATAATGACGAGGAGCTGATTGAGAGGTTTTGATTCGGTAGGAGATCTGTCTGAACTTACTGAAGAGCTGTCACTGGATTTACAGTTTGTGTCGGGCCGCAACGCAGCACTACCACCAGCCTTACAGTTGCTGATTGCGGGGCAGGGGAATCCTCCCCAAATACGTCAACAATGATGTCACTGTAAATTGAGGTTTTCGGGGGAGGAACCCCGCCAGTTGGGTGATTTTTTTTGGAGGAGACGTCTTTTTTTGCCTTGCTGAGGAGATCTTTCCACTTCTTCCTAATGTCAGCCTCTGTACGAAGGCAGCCAGAGTCTGAACACACACTGATGTGCCCTGTTATCTCTGCCCATACTGACTGTTTTTTCTTATTTGTGATGACGTTTGACTGCTTGGCAGCATCATTAAATCCCCCTAAATCTGACACACTGGACCCTTAAACGACTAAGAGGAGTGTATGTGTCGAGTTTTACAGTTCATCAGAGGGAGGCAGACTGACACTCACCATCTCTATGACCTGCTCTGCCTCTCCAACGCTCTCTATGTCAAAATGTCCAGCAGGAGCTTCATCCATCTGCTGCTGAAGCTTCTCGTTGGCCACGGCCATCTGAGGCAGAAAGCTCTGCAGCCGCTCCAACACTGATGCACAACAAAACACCACACATCATCACACCTTGGACTCAAAAGACATTAGTTTCTCTGCAAATGGCACAGTAATAACTAAAGTAAGTCACTGCAAAACAGCATGCAGGGAAGGAAGTAATTTGATCTCACCACTGCTTCTCGGGACTCGCTCTGTCTGCAGGGATCTGCCAGTCTTTGGCTTGAGGAGAAGCTTCTCATTGAGACCTAGCAGCACAACAAACAGGCTCACCATGACATAAAATAGTACCTGTTCCCCTACAGTGAAAAGGATTAAATCAAGATATGAAATTTTATGCAAAAATGTTCAGAAAGACAGCAAAACACTGAATGATCCTCATTAGCAAAAAGGTTTTCCAACTAAGTAGATGTTTTTCCAAACAGCGCTAATGTTGATTAGTGTAAGCTGATATTGTTAATTGAATTTCAGATATAACATAATTTATGATGTTCTGATTTGATCATACTATCAGTCTATTCATTTTTTGCTGTACTAATCAATTATTATGGGCAAGCCATCATGAAAATCTGTTTGAAGTGAAGAACCCACTTCAAAAAATGTTGGGAGAGGAGAATGTTTACCTCTGTGTTACATCACCTTTTCTTTTAACAACACTCAGAAAATGTTTAGGAACTGAGGACACCAATTGTTGAGGTTTTGAAAGTAAAATTCTTTCTCATTCTTGCTTCAGTGCCTCAACAGTCCGGCATCTCTGTTGTCATATTTTGTGCTTCATGTTCTACACATGTTCAATGGGAGACAGGTCTGGACTGCAGGCAGGCCAGTATAGTTCTTGCACTCTTTTACTATGAAGCCACGCTGTTGGAACACATGCAGAATGTGTCTCATTATCTTGCTGAAATAAGCAGGGACATCCCTGAAAAAGACTGGATGGCAGCATATGTTGCACCAAAACCTGTATGTACCTTTCAGCATTTGTGGTGCCTGCACAGATGTGCAAGTTACCCATGATGCCATGGGCATTAACACACACCCATACCATCACAGATGCTGGCTTTGAACTTTGAGCTGGTAACAGTCTAGATGGTCTTTTTCCTCTTTAGCTCGGAAGACACAACGTCCATAATGGACTGGTCAGACCACAGCACACTTTTCAACTCTGTGTTAGTCGATCTCAGACGAGCTCGGGCCCAGAGAAGTCGGTCGTGTTTCTGGGTGTTGTTGATATGTGGCTTTCACTTTTTTGGTAGAGTCTGAACTTGCATTTGGAGATACAGCGATGAACTGTGTTTACTGACAATGATTATCCAACGTGTTCCAAAGCCCACGTGGTCATATCCTTTATACAATCATGGTTTTTAATGCAGTGCCACCTGACGGGTCAAAGGTCATGGGTATTCAATGTCGGTTTTCAGCCTTGCCCCTTCATGCAGAGATTGACATTGTTCATACAAACATTGTTCTTAAACTTAAACTGTTAGACTGCCCATGCAGTTTTTCACAAAGTGATTGTCCTTGCTTGTGAACATCTGAGCCTTTCAAGGATGCTTCTTTCATACCCAGTCACGATACTTTAATCTGTTACCAGTTGACCTGTGGAATGTTCCCAACAGGTGTTTTTTGATTCCACAACTTTCCCATTCTTTTGTTGCTCCTGTCTCAGCATTTTTTTGGATCATGTTGCAGGCACTGAATTCAGAATAAGTGAATATTCAAAAAACAACAACAAACAAACAAACAAAAAAAACTATAAAGTTTAGGCCTATCATTTGAACATTAAATATCTTGTCTCTATACTGTATTCAATTGAATACAGGTCAAAAAGATTGGCAAATCATTGCATTCTTGTTTTTATTTGCATTTTACAGTGTCCCAAATTGTCTTGAAATCGGGGTTGTACATAGCAGTAGAAAATCAATATGATCATTTCAGATATACCTCTGTTGATATCAGAAAACATCCTTATTAATATCTTAATGATATACCCAAATCTGACATCTTAGGAATGCACCATTTCAGAATTTTTTTGCTGATATCCGATATGCCGATATGTAAGAACTCCTTTGGCCAATGACCAATACCGATCTTTTCCCTACCTAATTTTAGGGATCACCAAGTCTCTTCTGTAGTGGAATTAACATCATACTATGCATGCATGCTCTGTTCATGATAGCACACCAGCAGATGAAGACATGAAAGACAATGCTTGTTGATGTAGGTAGGGAGAGGAGCTGAAACAAGGAACACTGACAGCAATATTCACCCACATTAGGTGCACTATTACTTTATATGACATTAGAGCGAGTTATTACATTTTAGCGAGTTATGGTGCGTTTGTTTTGTACTCGGAGGTCGGAAGTGGGAATGACGTCAACTCCGAGTTGACAACAGTTTTTGCATTCTAGCTGACAACGGTGGATAAGTTGGAAAAACACATGGACGTTACTGTTCTACCGTTGGGCTAGCCATAGCCATTGTTAGCAGTATCAGTTGATAACAACGCTCTATGTGGCATTTTGCACATACAGACAGCATAGCAACATGCCCACGGATAAAAATTTAACAGTACTATGGGTATGGCTGACCTAATGTAAAACAAATAAGACAGAATTGCTATAAACAGTACTTTAGCAGAGTGTTTACTCACTATGTATGTGACCGGCAGCCATCATGAATTTGTAAGTCGGGGTTGATGCGGTTGCTCCGAGTTTATTTATTTATTTATTTGTTTATTTATTAGGATCCCCATTAGCCATCACTCCGTTGTGGGAGTAATGGCTATTCTTCCTGGGGTCCTCACACAGGACACAATTATATACATAGTAAAAACATACAGAATAACAATAACAATCTAGAATCATATATGATAGTTACAAGGAGTTTCCGAGTAATCCAACCTCAGGGTGCATTCGAGTTTAAACTTCCGACTGGGAACTGGGAATTTCCGACCTCCGAGTACAAAACGAACGCAGCATTACTCCAAGTTACCCTCCCTGCAGAGGAAACCCATTCACCTTTTCCGCTGGCAGCAGCACAGCGTCTCTCCCTCTCCTCTCTCGTTGTGCGCACACGGGAGTCGGTGTCGTCAAGTGACTAAACCTTTGGTAATGTAAATCTGCGTGACGCTCGCGGCTCGACAAAAAAACTACATACATGCGATTGTGCGATAGGTATGATTACATAATGTTACAGGGTGTCTTATGCTACGTAGCCAACAGCCCCACCCTGTGGATTTTATCTGATGTATCTGCCTCATGTAACAGTATACTTCAGTTTGCACAGCTGGCGAATACATGGAATTGAGCCACAGCCTGACTTGCGTCGTTTATACTACACCTACGCGTATAACACATAAAGCCTGATTTATGGTCCTGCGGTGTACCTACGACGTATCTACGTCGTTGCCGTGACGCCGTCGTGAACCCTTCGAACTTCTCCGTCACTCCATTTCGTCACGGTGCAATTCACCGCCAGAGCGGTAGGGGGCTGCATTCTTTCCTGAATGGTTATCGTCGTCTGTAGTTGATTCTTTGTTTAGCTTCCGGCTTTTCCGGTCACAGTGAACAATGGCGACCGAGAGAGAGAGAATCTTGCTGGAGTTGGAGTTGTTGGATGTCAAAGAAAGTATGTTAATACTGCAACATATACATCGCAACAGAAGATGTTTAAAGATGGTAGGGATGGCGCAATCTGAAAATACGGAACCGGAAATGCGTTGCTACCAAGCAAACCAATCACAGCCCTCTCGGTCTGCACTGGGTCTGCGTCACCTTGACGTGTAGTTACATTCTTTGGGAGGTGCACGTCAGGCTACGCTAGGGGCTACGGCGAGCCTCTTGCGTAGCCACGTACCCTACGACCTAGGTACGTCATTGATTTAACGCAGGACCATAAATCAGGCTTAACAGCCTGTCACAGGATACAGCGTGATGATTAGAGGAGAAATAGCAGAGCATAAAGGTTTGGGTGGGGAAAAAATAACTCAACCAGTTAGGATTTTGCTAGAGAAGGAACTTGCCTGTTGATTTAAGTATATAGATCCAAGGGTACATTTTTTGTATTTGGGAACTGTTTAAATGTGTAATTTGTGGTAGATTACATTTTGTCAAATTATTAATATTGTATACAAAATCTGAATTTCACTCTGAGTTACTGTTGTTATTTACAAACTAAAGAAATTAGAGATAATTTTTGTTTAGTTTTTACTGAATATTTGAAGACAAACTGTTATGTTGACATGTAAACCTATATCACTTATTTTGTTGCAATTCTGTTTTTTTTTAAAAATTAATAATACTTTTTTTTTAAACTAATTTGTCACAATGTCAAGAATATCGTTATTGCAAAAATACCCTGAAATAGGCTATAATATTATTTTAGGGCCATGTCATCCACCCCTATTTGACGTACATTACTACTTTTCAATATCTTGTTCAATATTTTCTCAAAGCCATATGCAATACTACTTCTCACTGTTATATCATATACAATATAGGCTAACATTGATTATCAGGCGCAGTCTGCTTTCTTCCACAATTTTAGTTCGTTATTAGTAACTCTAGTATTTATCTTACTTCTGTTGTTACTTTATTAGGCACTGGTTTTTGCTTTTGCTCCTTTCAAACACTCCTTATTTTGTAGATAATATTAATGCATTGTGCATTTTACAACTTCCTCACAGCTCACTCTTGTTATGAAGAACCCCATATAGACAGAGAAGTTTCTGGAAGCACACATCGTCCTAATCATTGAATTAGTAACGTTGAAACAGCACTGTTATTGCATAGTAATGTTAGCTAAACCGTAGCTAAGCACGGGCATTTCTCAGCATTCTTCTTTCAACAATAACTGCTGATTAAAGTATTCAAACCTTCTCCGGTCCCACATGACAGCAAATCCTGTGAACTCATCTTGCTGATATTTAATTCCATTTCAGAGGCGACAAGACTATACCCGCAACGACATTTGTGTTTGTAGTGAGACCAACATCCGGGTGAAAGGCAAGAGCATCTATAAGCAATAATAAAGCGCCCTCTACTGTTTTGGAAGACTTTATGACAATAGATAGACTGTGAGGTTGGCTGTAAACATTACACTGACTGTACGTATACAACGAATATGAACGCTAATAAACAACTGAGCCATTACAACAACGTTAAGACTCCTCGTCTTATTATTAAAAAAACTGGAGAACTACTTTAGCAAGGTGTACCCTGCGCCTGCGCACTACCACCCAAATGTCTGTGTGGCACGTTTTGTTCTGATTGGAAAGCTTGTATGCGCAGCAGAGGTCTCACTCCCACATACTTTTGTTGCTGCGAAACCCGTGTTGGGTAGCGTTCACCTAGTTCAGTTAAAGAGGAACTACGCCCATTTTCAAAATTCATCCATGGTATTCCTATGCTCTAAGACAGAGCAGTAAAAGTGAACAGCTCTCTCCCAAATCCAAAAACTAGAGTGCTAAAACTCAAATTATTGATGTCATAGGGTATAAAGGCTGGAGCCGCTTCTTGACAATAAATGGCAAAAGATGGCCATGTCATGGAGCTGGTTTGCTGTCTCTGTTGTCTGATATTTCAAAATAAAGTGTGTTTATTACAAATTTGAAATATTCACACTTGAACTTGGACTTGCAGTCCATTCAAAATTGACCCACAGCCCATTTTTAGACTGCGAGTCACCAGTTGGGAATCACCGTTCTAGGTTATACTGAGAGATACTGAGGGGAATGTTTTGAGTATAGGTACATTTTCTGTGTCAGAACTGAGAACACTACAATAGAATATGCCAAATCACGGTGACGTTATACTAACAACAATCACATTCAGGTAGCAAAGGGGCAGTAGATTATATTTGCGAGGATATGTGAAGTTGGCAAACTTGTTGACTTCTGTTGTCATTTTCACCCATAACAGTAACATTCAAAGATATGTAGTTAAATACTATGGTCTGTTATCTGACCTTTCTTTTGTGCTTATTTTATTTTAGCTAATGCAGGCCTACTGCTGTGGACGGGGCTGCAACAAAATGCATTTTAACCACCTAAAAAAAATCAATATTAGTTTAAGTATATGCTATATTTGAATATTTGCTCCGCCATACCGTACACACTAACCAGTTAACATCGCGGTAGACCAGCAACTCTGTGTGCTACCAAGTAAAATGACTGTTTCTGTGAATGGAGTCTGGTGGCTTTGAAGTGGCAGCTCGGACCCAGCTGCAGACAAGATGACGGACAAGGGCGGCGGCATATATCCAATCCATACCGGAAGTCCATACCGGAAGTTGGTCTGTGTATTATTCACCGAAGAGGAAGAAGACAACGGAGAAGACGAAGAGAAGAATGCAACAATACACGCATGACTAAGAGAAAGAGTGGTAAGGGAACAAGTCTTTTAATTATTAGAATTAGACAACTTTATTGTCATTGTACATTGCACAATGAAATTCTGTTCGGCACTTAGCACTAGCAGTAGTAGACTCACAAGACGCTTTAACTAAAGACTGATGACTTTCTCCTTGATTTTGTGTTTAGATGGGCGGATACAATTTCAGAGTTTAAAAAACTCCCTACGTTGCAGAACCAATAGTAAATCTGCAGGGCGGTCCTTCGGTGGCTTGCTGAACTCTTGTGCTTGTAAACATAGTCCCACTAGAAACACGTGTAGTGGTACAAAATGGCTCAGCCGTACTCGCAGAAAACGCCGTCAAAGTTAGTGGATGTTTGTCGCGTTTGCGGCGACACATTCTCGCCAACTATAAGAAACAAACATAATCTTTTACAAGGCCATGATTCATCCGTCCGGCCGGACTATAGAATATAGAGGGAATCGCCTTGTTGTTTACAAGGCGATTCCCTCTATATAATATTTATTTAGCTATTTATTTATTTAGCTAATATTTATTTATTTATAATATTTATTTCATTTAGCTGGGCTAACCGTTAGCTGTTAGCCCTGTTAGCCGTTAGCGGTGTCTGTAATAGGTAATAACTCGTTAAACGGTCCGTGAAAAAAATATCTTTTCCAGCGGATATCTTAGTTACAACATGATTGAGCTAGCAAAGCAGTTTTGTGTTGCTATGTGTGGTATTTATTCAGTTTTGGGAAACCACGATGTCTACAAAGCATCAGTGGCTGCAGCTGACAGGGGCAGCTAACAGCAGCAGCAAAGCTAACATCAGGACGTCATCTGTTAAAAGCCTCCCGTTGGCGGATACGACATGAAACTACTCCAGTTAGCTCAATCATGTTGTAACTAAGACATCCGCTGGAAAAAAAATATTTTCTTCACGGATGAGCACACGTTTGATAAAACGGAGTTAAATCTCTCGGCATCCATTTTCAAGCTCTCTGTGTGTTTGTTTCCTTGCGGATGAGAAAAGGGGGAGCGCACATTTCTGAGTAGGCGTGTTCTTTTCAAAAATGCAAGAGGCGTTGCTTTGCTGCCGGCCGTTTTCGCCAGTGTGTTAAACACACTTTAGAAAGGAGTGTCCCCAGACTATCAGAAGGCGGAGATCTCTGATTGTCTGGTGGCAAGACTATAGCAGTAGTAGCTAGTAGCTAGCACTAGCATAGAGTACCAAGCCGCTGCATTTATACGCGCCGTCATCTTCATTATATTTTAACACGTGTGTTATGTTCTCTAAGATGCAATTCTACGTAATGTATCGAATCATTAGGGGGACGTCTATGTGGGGAATCTCAGCATGCACAAATTACTACCACCGAATGGTGGGTTTCGCTACATTTGTTGTTTAAAAATGAGGTATTAACTTTGGTATTAACTTAACGTTAGCTGCTCAAGGTCTGTTGTGCTCCCTTTCATCAGTGTCTGTGTGTAAACAGTGTTAATGTTGGTCAGAGACTATTACTGCCCTCGCTTGATGTGTTGGTTAATTTAGATGTGTAGTTTGCAGCGGGGTTAATATGTGTTCCCCTGCATTTTGGTGTGTTGTGGTGTAAAACATTTGCACACACTCACTGCACACAAGCCATTTTTTTCCAATTTTAGGTTCGCCTGGTCTCCTTGTGTATTAATGCTTGTATTACCTCAACCCTGCACTGCTCAATCAAGTTCTATACATTTTTTTTTTCCTGGAGATATTCTAAAAATAGTAACGAGAGTCGTCTTATGTGGTATACGACATGAGCGTCCCCCGAGGGTTAACCGGGTCAGATAAATAACATATATATAGCCCCAGGTGTCTGCCCACCTACACACCTTTTCGACGGTTGGAACAGACTCTTTAAGACTTCTTTCATTTTGTTCATTGTTTATTCTTTTCTTTCTTTTGGTTAATTTGGAAGATTGTGTTTAAATTGGATTATTTCTCTGATTTTCTTATAACCTTGATTCTGTTTTGTATTTGATTTCATTTATTGAGTAAGGAGGCAAAAATAATTAATTCTTCCTTTGTGTTACAGGTGCTGTGGGCCAAAGCGAGCGGCAGTCCCTTTCCTGGTGGTGGTGCTTTCACAGTTCAGTATTTGGTGTGCTTCACGGGTGGTGTTTGATTTGGTTTCTCCCTCCTTGGTTTCCTGCCGCCGTGGTAAGCCCCAGCCCTGAACTATTTGGTTGCCTCTGTTTGTTCCAGGCCTTTTTTTTAAAGAGAAATTGTGTTTTTAACTCAAAAATAAAGTATATATTTTTGTATGTGAATCACGTCTCTGGCCCTGTGTTACATTTAACCTGTGTTGCCAGTAAATAATCCTGTAAAAGTGTAGGTATATTCCCAGGGGTGAAATTCCCCTGGGTGGCGTTGTTAAGCTCTGCATCCCTAGCATCCCCCCCCCCCCCCACTCTGCCACAATAAGATAAGATGTTGATTGACTTCTCCTTTTTTCAGATGCACCCCTCTATTTTGAGCGACGAAGCCAGTCTGGGGCACACAACCCTTTCACCATCCGAGTTTGGGTGTCCTCTCTGCCCCAGATTTAAAACCAAAAATGAGTGTGATCCGGAGGCACCTGAAAAACCATATGGAAAATGCAGTTCATTTCCATGGTATGTTGATGAGAAGTATCTGTTTGAGATCATATTCTTCTACATGTAACAGTAATGTTTAATGATATTTGTTTGGGACAAAACAAGACATTTTAGGCTGCATCTTGGGATCTTGTGATTTGTGGAACAGTGGTTGACATTTTATACCATTTTCTTACATTTTATAGACCAAACAATTAAATTATTTTACTGTTTTTCCTTTTTTTTTCTTTGTTTTTTTTCTACTTTTGAGATTGATATAGATATCTGGAATAAAAACTTGTTCACAAAAAAGAACTCCAAGTCTACTTCTTTATGTCGCCAGTACAATAGTATAATGTGTTTACATGTGCTCCTGAAATATAATAGAATACATCTGACAATATGACAATCTAATTATTACGTTCATTTAATAGTTAAATAGTTACAATTAAGCATACAAAGAGTAAGTATGACATTTGTTGTGTCCATGGTTTTCAGTTGTTTTGAATGACCTGATAGTAATCTGCATGTTGCAACTGTAGCCCAATAAATGAAAGTGCTCACCTTATTTAATCTTTGTTAAAAATTAATCCAACTAAAATTCATGTGTTTGCTGATTTTCTGCAATCTTTGTAGGTTTAACTTGTTGAGGTCAATGTTATTCCAAACAAAACATGATTGTATTTAAAATAATTATTGATATTATTATTATTTATTTTAATATATATATATCTATCTATCTTTATAATTGATGACTGCTTCAAAGTTTGTAAATGTATTGCTAAAATAAATAATATAAAAAAGACAGACTTAAAGAGTAACTAAACCCTAAAACCATTTTTTTTCAGCTGATAATCATTGTTTCTGGTTGTATAGTAGTGTTACTGACTGATCCTGCTCAAAATCTTGACAGTTTAGTGCAAACTGTTGAAAATCTACATTTTATTTTAAAAATGTGCTATGGAGTGCCCTCTACAGCTTGAAACCTGGTTACTACATTTGAATTTACATTTCATTACATTGGGGGCGAATGACATCACTAACCGTCCACGCTAAAGCCTGTGCTCATCCCTTTACTCCTCCTCCCCTTACTATAAAACCATTCTGTCCGCAGTTATCAAACTGATAGCGAGTAGGTTGGATCAGAGCAGAGAGAAGGTAGAAGAGCAGACAGAATAGCTAGTAATTTGTCGAATTGTATTTTTAGCATAGTGTATTTTAGTGTAGGTTTACAGTTAGTAGTGTGTTTATAGTATTTAGGTTAGTTGGTCAAGGAGAGGCGGCCAGGCTCGGGAGTATATGTGCGGGGCAGCGAGAGAGGGATGTGGAGGGTCGCAGCGCGGTGAGAGAGAGCCAAGCCTTGGGGTGCGGGGCCGCGAGGGAGGTAGGGGTGGATGGATGGATGCGGTGGACTGCTGCGCGGTGAGGGAGAGACCAGGCTCCCAGAGAGGGAGAAATAGAACCAAGTAGGCTAAAATAAGTCAAAGTGTGGAGAAGGGGACCGGCCGAGCTCTGGCCGCCTTCCCTTCTGCCCGTGTGACACAGTTAGGGGTGGTTTTCCAAGCCATCATCGGCACAATGAAAATAAGTCTAAGTGTGGAGGAGAGGGACTCGGTAGAGAGGCCGACCTCCGGGGAAGCCCTCTCCCCGCAGAGAGGGACAATCTTCACTCTGCCCCCTTCCTCAGCCGCTCGCCTGCCCCCGCCCCGCCCTCCCTCCTTCAGCTCCGCCTATCTTTTCTGAATTTTTTCAGTGTTGCCAAGTCCGCTTATTATAAGCGACTTTGGGCTTGTTTTTCTGTAAAGTCGCTTACAAATATTGGTAGTCGCGGGTTGCGATTTTTTTGGGCTTGTCTCTAAAGCGTAGTTGCTTATTTGGGCTTGTTCCCAGCTCCATAATAAGTTGTCAAGCAGATATTTTCGATATGTTATTTAAACGTAGGATAGTTTGTCTTGCCTGTTCCCTCTGTCCCTCTCCTTTCCCCATACACACAGGAGACAGCAGAGTTTTTCCCACCCGCATCCTGCTTCTAATTGGCTCTAACTCTGATGGCAACGAGTACTAGCCAATCAGAGGCAGAGCAGGGTAATGTGTTTTTTTCTGGTTAGGAAAACATCAGTCCTGTAACTAAAAGAAAAAAGTTAGATGAGTGCATAAAAAGCAATAATAAATAAAGAAATTGTGAATTCAGGATGATATTTATTTCTGTGTGCAAATTTTAATTATCAGAGGTTTACTGTGTATATAATGTACTTGGTACATCAGTCTATATTTGATATCCCATCTGTTTTCTAATGTTAAATAATGTTAAAAGGTGGTTTAACTCCCTCTTGTGGTCATTGTCCTGAAGCTCAGGGGGGAGAAAAATAAATAAACTGTGTACCGTGGGTACAGTTTTGCAAAACTGCGCACAGTTTACTAATCTGTCCACATGGATGTAAATTGACAATCTGTACCCACAGTTTAAAATCTGTCCCCACGGACTGTAAAACCGTGCACATATTTTATTTAATTTTCTCTCACTGGAACCTAGGGGGGCTCCGTAGAAAAAGTCGCTTGTTTTGGGCTTGTTTTCACAGGCCTGGTTGCTTATTTGTCTCGCGAGATCTGGCAACACTGAATTTTTTTAAATCAAGCTGTGGGCGGAGTAATGCCCAGAGAGGGGGGTTTAGTTCCCCTTTAAAAACCGACTTCTGGGGAAAAAACAAAACAAAAAACTGACTTCCTGTATGTATGCAACCAGTATTTTAGACACAAAGAAGATTAACTTCCGGTATGGACTTCCGGTATGGATTGGATATATGCATAGACATATATATATATATATATATATATCTCCCACTCTGGGGTTGAGGTGAATGAAAGAACTGTGTTGTGACCTATATAACATGCTGTTGCTATCTGCAGAAAGCATTAAAGCATGAAATCCCGTATTTTTAATGTACGAAAGCATCCTGTATCATAACTACATGTGTGCCGTTTGTAACAAACCAAACCGCGTGAAAATCAGTTGCAAATTTAGTGAGTTATTCTATTTTACTTGTGCATACAGCTCCTTCCTCAATAGAAGTGAATGCACTGTGGAGGCGAAGCGAGACCCATCCAAGATGGCGGCCGGCGAGGACGTCGGCTCCAATAGGCAGCAGCAGTCAATGCGGTGTCTATGTATATATGTCTATGGATATATGGCGGTGCCCTTGTCCGCCATCTTGTCTGCAGCTGGGTACTCTTGGAAACTATCGGGAAACTGTTCGACTACACCGCAGCTTATCGTCACCACCCCCTGCTGCAACCGCCTGCTCTCATCTCGAACAAACCTATTGTCTATGGAACAGCTCCAGACTTCATACCCTGTGACATCACAATGTGAGACTTCCCTCTGTGGTTTCTGGCTTTGACACGTTTACCAGTAATGACTGAATTCTCCAAGGCCATGGAAATAACATGTTGGAATTCTTAATTTAGGTGATGTTCCCCTTTAAATGTAAATCTTGTACATCAGCTCACCTTATTTGTTAACATAAGGCATAGTGTTTTTATTAACATCATCATCATCATACATAACCAAGAATAGAGAGTAAATAGTATTACCAGTGATTATAGATGTAATACCGCCTGAGGAAATAACTGGAGCATTTTGCACATGCTCTTTTGTTATACAGTTTCTAACTATTTTACATTCGAATACTTCTTTACATTCAAGCTTAAAATGGTGATATTTCCAAACTGTTTGGACTAACTAACCAGCAAGCACAAGATTGTAAAACGGAGGCTTTTTTCAACTCCAGGATTTCGTCTTTAACTTAACTTTAACTTACAATTTTTTAAACACAACAAGTTTTAAAAATCTAATGAATCATTTATGGTGGGGGAGAGTCATGTATTTTCCATCAGTCACCCCAGAGAGGCTTGAGGATGTTGTAACTTCATGGAACGCAAAAAAAAAAAAAAAAAAGTAAGTCACGAAGTCACACCGCGGCCACTTCCATCCTCTGATACATAAAGAAGAGTGCCGAGTCTCTACCCAGCGCGTATTACAGCCACTTTTTTCAAACGGGGTAGTTCATCTTTCTAACATAGACGAGCTTTGGTGGCACTTCATCTGTGACGCGGCCTCCGGCTGACTGACTGTCAAGAAAAAAGACTCGCATCTCTCTTCCTGGATGAAATGTCTCCGTTGCAGAAAGGTAACTCATGAAAAACAACTAACATACGGGAACGACTAAAATAAGTAGTTTGTAGTTTTTATTTATACTAGCTAAGACCAGCCACTGTATGTTCCCGGTTTACGCATAAAGCAAGTAGGGAGCCGTGCCTCCTACTGTTTTGATTTCTACACAGCTAGCTAACATAGCACAGTGTGAGCTAATAGAAACAGTTACCCACAACTAGCCAACATTTTCGCGTTCTGCAGGGCTGTCATTAAATACGAGTGTATGTCGTCAGAAAGCGTTAAACGATAAAGCAGGAACGTGATAAGCGAAAAGACAGACAGGCAGGTAATATGAAAGGCCTGAACAGCGATGTTGGGCAGATGAAAATGTGGGCAACTCTAACCTGTGGGCTTCGGACCGCATCTCCAAAACAAGAAAAGCAACACCAGTAAAAACAAAACACAGTTACTGCTTTCAGCAGGAGCGTTTCTAGGATTTGAGGACATTTGGGGCTTAGCTCGGACCTCTGTAGCGGGTCTGGGGGTGTCCTACCCCAAGAAACCTTTTTGATGAACAAGCTACATTTTGAGGCTTTTTATGCACTTTGGCATTTTATTTGGGGGCTGTTCTGTGTGTGTGTGTGTGTGTGTGTGTGTGTGTGTGGGGGTAATTTGACCCTCCCTGAGACTACAATTATTTTGCCCTCCCTCCACCACAAAGTACTTAGTATTTTTTTTTTAAACTTATCCTTCATTGTTTGAAAGTTAAAAGTTAATAGTTGAGGATGAAATCATGGAGTTGATAAAAGCCTCAGTTTTTCTCTCTTGTCATGCATGCTGGTTAGTTTGTGTAAATGTTTTTTTTTTTTGGGGGGGGGGGGGGGGGGGGTGATTTTGATGAAAAATCACTGCTTGGTGATAGCTCAGATTAAGTTATGTTTTTTTGTCTGACGGAAGTGTTTGTTGATGTGAACAAGGAAATTTGAACATCCACTGATAATTTCTGTTTTTACAGTTCTGGTTGTGGTTTGGAAAAAGTTTTCTTTAAAAAGCTGTGGTAGAATAAATACAAAAACAACTATTTAACTTTGTATGCCCCTCCACTAAGCCAAACTAAAAAAACACAAGTTTTTCCCCAGTTTTTGCACCAACCCCTCCTGCCTCAGTAATAATAAACAGTCCCTTACCCTTAAAACATTCTTTTATAATCAACAAATTAAATATATATTGTGATGTTAAAAATTAATTTATGTTAATAGATAATATTGACTAGAAACAGAATCCTTTACAACTGTTATCATTAAAATGAAGAGAATTGTGTAGTTCTGTATTTCAGTAGAAAACGATATTGCAATATTGGTCGATATTTAGAGCCTTGGTTCTTTGGTTAACAGTTCCGGAGGGTTTGTTCCTCTTTATTAGAATGAGAAGTGACTCAGCTGTTCCATCTCAGTGTAATGTCATATTAAATTTTGCTCTAGGCTGTGTTATCCTGTTTTCTCCCCACATATCTTTCCCTGTGTGTGTTTTCCTCAGGCTGATGAATCCCTGAAACCAATATCCAACAGGGATGGTGCACCTGAACCAGTCTGAATTACTTGACACTGCTCACAGACTGGGAGGCAGGAGATGAGACACTGCAGCCCTCAACCACATCATGAGTATCCAGAGTCTGGGAGGAGCTATAGGGGATTCCCTGGGCTCTAGCCTGACGGTGCGTGTGAGTGGAGCAGGTGGTGGGTGGAGTGCTCTCTCCCTGAAGCCTGTTTCCTCCGGGCGGATTGCCTCACTGTTCCAAACCATGGTTCCAACTGGTTATACCAAGCTGCAGGAGGAGCGGTTAGCCATGGTGGACCTCGGAGCTAAACCTGAGGCCAGCTTGCTCCAGAATGGCTACAGACAGGAGTCATCACACATAGAAGGCCGACGGCTCCTGGACCGGGCGTCTCGGTCCTCTGTGACTTTATCTGACTGTGGAGATGGAGGCTACTCTGAAACAGAGCCCATGCTGGCTGAGAGGAGGCTGTCTGGGGAGGAGGCAGATGAGGAGGAAGAGGAGGATGAGGAGGAAGGGCTGGGATCAGCTGTGCAGAATATGCCCAAAGAGTCGCCGCTGGCCATGGCGTTGCAGATTTTGCTCCCCTTCCTGTTAGCTGGATTTGGAACTGTATCAGCTGGAATGGTGCTGGATATTGTTCAGGTAAGTTGAGCTACAATGTAACTGTTATTCAGACAACAGCCAGTAGAGCTCAGAGCTCCAGACGTGTTAAAGGCTAATTCCAGTTTATGACATCAAAGGGTCTTATGTTTAAAGTTGGGGCCATTGTCTCTATGAGTTATGATAATGTTGTAGTCAGCAAAGCAATTGCAGAGATGTAGGAACATGACGTTCTCCCAAGAACAAAGCCTGAAGGAGCAAAAAACCATAATCAGACAGAAAATCGGACAGGAGCCAATAGTTTATCCAGATTATCTAAAGCGCTTTATTAAGAGGTAAAATGGAACACATTGTAACAATCCTTAATCCCTCAGGAAAGTTGTCTACACAACTGCGTTAATTACAGTCGGTCAAAGTTGAAGCCGGAAGTCAGTCTGTATTTTGAATCCAACATTATCTACACTTGTCTGTACTACAGGGTCTGTACAGGGTTCCCCACACATTAATTTTTTTTGGCTGCCCACCATGATTAAAATGTCTGCCGCCACAATTAGATTTTCAGTTTTTGGAGCTGGACTGTTCATTAGGAGCGCTGCTGGAATACATAAACCGCTGGGTTATTTATAGCAGCACACTGTCTGAGCTCAGAGCACACTCAGGACAGAGAGGGAGCAGTAGAACATCAGGCGCAGTGAAACGTAACCATTCATTGTGATGGGTCTAAAACTGCCATGCAGCCGCCCGCCACTAGCGGGGGCTACAGAGCTGTCAGACAGCAGTCCCTTTCCTCACGGTAATGCTCAAGTAGACTAGAGTTTTAAAACAGCACTGTGGGAAATTGAAAGATGTCCTCCTTCAAAACTAGCATGGTTTGGCAGTATTTATTGAATGGCACAGTGCCTCACAGTTTGGCAGAAATTAAGTATTTTAGATCCTGTGTTATTTGTTTAATTTTATGTGACTTTTTGTTGGTTAATGTGTCAGGTAGGGCCGTAACGGTACATGTATTTGTGTCGAACCGTTGGGTACGCGTCTTTCGGTTCGGCACGACCCTGTACCGAATTATTGGGCGCAGGATATTATTTTATTTTATGTTGTTTTATTTTAATTCCGTTTTTGCGAGCCGAACCATTTAAAATATTCCCTGACGGACATAATTGAGTGATGGACCGAGTCCGACCGTAAATCTCTGCTTTCACTTTGTGCAGCGCTTTCTCGCATTTTGACAATATGGCAAGTGAGCCTGACGAACCTGAAGACCCACCCGCAAACCTTAAGTCCTCTGTTTGGGAACACTTTGGTTTCAGGGTAAAATACGAAGATGGAAATAAACAAGTTGACAAGACAAAAGCAGTGTGCCGACACTGCAGAACAGCGGTCGGGTATGTACTCGGAAACACGTCACCACCCGAGTTTGAACGGCACGACTAGAAAAAGCAATCTGGTGCAAACTACGATATCGTCGTCGTTTAAAAAGAAAGAGCGTTTCCCTGACCATCGCGCTTAAGAAATAACCAACGCCATTGTAACTGAGTAAAATTGTTTAAGCTGCACTTCAGATATAAGCACGTTTTGTTTACTGCACTTTAACAAAGTGGGAAAGCTAAGTAAGTTTCTAGTAAAACTGGATCTGAGCAGGCTTTAAAGCTGACCAGCTGCACTATACTTTTTATTTTAACTGAGTAAAACTGTTAAAGCAGAAATGTATATTTATATTTTTCATTCAAAAAATGTGTTAAAAAAACAGCAGGATTTTATTTTTCACTTTTATATTTCTATTTTCATTCAAACAATGTGAAAAAGCAGGATTTTATATATATTGGTTTCATTCAAAAGTTGTGTAAAAAGAGTTAAAGGACAACTTCGGTATTTTTCAACCTGGGCTCTATTTCCCCATGTGTATGTGTACGTATGATTCATGGGTACCACTTGTTCTAAAATTGGTTCAGTATTGAGCCGCGAAATGAGCCAAAACGGTAATGGGGGCAAATGTGTCCCGTATAAAAGTGCTTTTTTTCGCCACTGACCGGTTCAGATTGCCAGTGCTATCTCTGTAAATAGCATATGGTAGCGGCCATGGGGCAGTGGTGAGTGTGAATGAGTGGAGTCAGCTGTCAGTCAGTATTGGAGCAGAAAGGCGGAAGGTGTCCCCGCTCGGTATTGTAAATGAATATGTGTGTGTGAAGTGTGTGTTTTTTCACCACTGACCGGTTCAAATCGCCAGTGCTATCTCTGTAAATAGCATGCTAACTTAGCCTTTCCCTTACCTCTGGGCTGTGTGATGTCACGAGCTTTGCTCCACTGTGTCTGTAGCTCTCTCTACTTGTGGGACAGCTGTTTTCTTGAGGAAGAGGTGTTTCGGGATTGGATGTCCTCTCTTCTTCGGCTGGCAGTAGTCATCTTGGGAGAAGTGAGCACTGCAGACCTGATGGTCTGCAAGGTGCAGTGTCTGGAGAGGAGCGTTAGCATCCATTTGTAGCACAACTAGCCACAACTTCAGCATCTCGCCGTCCGACAAAGGCAGTCTATGAAAGCTGTACGGGTTGTTGCGCGACAGCCTGTTCGGGAAAAAGGCCCGTTTGTTTGAGCACTCCAAAAACTCGGGTAACACTCCAGAGGGTAGCACGTAGAAGACTCCGTCCTCTGACTCTTCTAGCGTAACACACACTTCACACACACATACTCATTTACAATACCAAACGGGGACCACTTCCGCCTTTCCCGATCCAACACTGACTGACAGCTGACTCCACTCATTCACACTCACCACTGCCCCAGGGCCGCTACCATATGCTATTTACAGAGATAACACTGGCGTTCTGAACCGGTCAGTGGTGAAAAAAAGCACTTTTATATGGGACGCATTTGCCCCCATTACAGTTTTAGCTCGTTTCGCGGCTCAATACTGAACCAATTTTAGAATGAGTGGTACCCATGAATCACACGCACACATACACATGGGGAAATAGAGCCCAGGTTGAAAAATACTGAAGTTGTCCTTTAACTGCTGTGGTGGTATGTTTTAATAAGGTTACCAATAAATAAAAGATATTTAATAGTTGTCTATTTTTTTCATTACTGTACCGAAAAAAACGAACTGTGACTTGTGTACCAAGGTACGTACCGAACCGAGATTTTTGTGTACCGTTACACCCCTAGTGTCAGGTTTATGTTTAAATTGAACGGTGCATAGCGCTTCACAATTCAGCAGCAATTTATCTTTTTTGAGATTTTCTATTATTTGTCAACTTTTTCTCAGATAATGTGCAGGGTTTACATTCAAACAGCATGGTCCAAAACGCCTCTCATTTCAGCTGAAATTGAATTAGAATTTAGATGTTGTTTTATTTACTTTAAAGTGAATTGCTATCATTTTTGTCGGATAATCTGCAAGGTTCAATGTGCCCCACATTTCAGAGGCAGTTTATTTATTTTAGACGTTATTTCAGTGGTTTCCCTTTGACTGAGTTGCCCTAATGTTCACGTTCATACAGCACGGTGCAAAGTGTCTTGTACTTCAGCGGTATTTAGACATGACATGGTTGTTGAAGATTGTGATTAAAGCCTTCAAAGGGCTCTTAATGCACACAATTTCTTTTTTTTTTTTTGCCAGGAACATCCCTAATGTTTACATGTTTTTATGTATAAAAAATATATGTTTTTCTCATACTGTGTGCCTGAAACCTGTATTCACCCTCTGAAACAATCCGTTTTAGCGCCTGTCTCTTTAAGCCCACCCTTCCATAAAAGTATAGTTTGATCAGAGTCAGGTCTTCTTTATCTGCACTCTGGGTGTTTCTGCACTGTCACTGTAGCTGGGGAATGACTGTAACTACACTCTAGAGGCAGTTTCCACCTTTGTAGTATAGTTGTGACATCACAACTTCACAGAAGTCCTTCTGGCTTGTTTAAGGCACAGTTTCTGAATAGGGACTCCTCCGTTGCCTGAGCATTTTGATACTTTCACACTATTGATGTAGCACCTATACCTACTTTATTTTTATAAAGAAAGTGGAAATCTGACTTTTTACAATATGGGACCTTTAAAGCCCCAGGAGGCCAGCTCACCCCCACTATATTATCATTAGTGATAGGAATAATGGCCAAAGCTACAAAAGTAAGACAGGTGTAAAATGGAATTATTCTTTAAGGGGGGACTTAACCCATTTTTAAAATTTGTACATGTTATTCCTATGGTCTAAGACAGTCGAAAAATAATAGTAAACATGAACAGCTCCCTCCCAAATCCAAACACTGGAGCGCTATAACTCAAATTTGTGTTATAGGGTACAAAATCTGCAGCTGCTCCACAGACAGTCAGTGGTAAAAGATGTTGTGGATGACACTGAGAGCAGCCAGGGGAACATTCTGAGTAGGCCTTTATGGGAACACGGCTGAGAACAAAAAGAAAACAAACATTATTTGGGTTCATAAAATCAGGCTCCCATTCATTGTGTATGGAACAGCTCCAGACTTTATACCTAATGACATCACAAGTGTGACACTTCCTTCTCTGGTTTCCGGCTTTGAGGGAGAGCAGCTCATGTTCACTAATAATAGTGATTGAACTTTCCTAGGCCATGGAAATAACATGTTAGAATTCTTCCTTTTGGCGGTGTCCCCCTTTAAAATACAGGTGGCCACATGCTATTGGCTATTGACAAAGTAACACTGTCTGTTTTTAATTTGCTGTGTGGTGTGTTCTTGTAAACAAACAAAAGTTCTGTTAACATTCAGTGTTTCTTATGTAAAGGCTTTGTGTGCATGCTTGAGGTCAGACGGACATGAATGCATTTTCCTCCTTGTTATACATTTTAACATGCGTTGTTTACACACTTGTAGTCCTCTTCTTTACTGCCTTTGCCGTCACATTGCTGTGTTTGTTTGTGCGGTACCACCACCAACCATCAGTCAGCAGAATAATTTGGAAACTTGGATCATGAATGTGTATTACGCCACCTGCAAGTCCCACCTTAACAGTGTTTCTTTTATTGGAGGACATTAAGGGTTAAAACAGTTAGGCAGATTTAGCGTAGCAGTGG